AACCCTCGCCCCAGACCAGACATACCCAGGGCAGGGCTGGGACTCTCTCACCATCAAAGAGAATGAACATATCAGGTAAAACCAACGTTCTCATCCACGCTGCGACGAGAGTCCAGGATGGGTATGACTCCTCTCTCTGATGTCAGAGCTGAGTCTGCCACTGTATAAAAAAAGCTTTTGACTCAGCTTTCTTGTCAAGAAGAGCTCATGTCTCTGGATAGGAATTAGGAGTTTAAAAGCACAATATATATATAGATCAGGCAGCGAGCAGCAGGAAGAATACTGCGACACAGCTCCTGGGGCTCCGGTTGAGCTGTGCCACGAGGAGAGCGGGGATCCACTCGCCTGCGGCGTCAAGGCTTCGGCAGCGCCTCCTGGGAAGCTGCGAGCTCGGGGAATGCTCCATGAGCTTCCCACGCGGTTCCCACAGCGTTTTTTTCTGTTTGACGCTCTACAGCTGATTTTCAGAGCCTTGCTTCACCGCCTCTCAGCTGATTGCAGTTCAGTAAGTTTCCGATTGCTCAGGGCCAGTAGATAGCCTAAGGAGTGAGGAAGGCAGAGAAGCCTCTTTAGGACCGGCGCACATGGTGGGCGGCCATTTTGAGTGGCTGGTGTAGGCCACTGGCCTGGAGGGCAAAGGCTGAGTCACCCGATGGAGGTAATCTTCTACTCTGCCCACCTGCAGCTCTCTGATTTTTTTCCAGCTGCTTCTCCAAGGCGTTCTGATGTCTCATAGCATCCTTTTCCTCAGTTTTGGAGGCCTTCTTGGGGGCTGGAGCCTTTTTAGCTGCTCTGCTCCTGGAGCTCCTTTGGAATTTGTGGGGCTGTAGCTGCCCTCCCTCAGGGTTTTGCTGGAAGTATGAGCCTCTGACATTTTGACTTGAAGGGCAGGGAGACCCGTGCCAAGAAGGAGAGGGGCGGGAGAGTGAGGTGGAAGTTGCAGCCCCACAAGCCCCAGGCACACTTGTGCCCTGATGATTCTCCTTACCTGGTCTTCTGGCCTGCTTGTGGCCCTGCTAAGCCTTTAGCTAGCTCTCCGACCACGCCCTATTGGAATCCTGTCCTTCTGGCCTTCAGCGGGCTCGTGCTAAGCACTTCATGTCGGAAGAGAGACCAGGAAGCTGTTCAAGCCCTGATTGATGAGGCCCAGGCCCTCCGAGGTCGACTGAGGCTGCGCCGTTTGATCCTGTTCCTCAGCACTGGGTCACTTCCCCCAGCGCTGGCACTAGAGGCCTGAGTGAAGGCTGACCAGCTGTTGAGCGGGCCAATGTCTCCTGCCAATTTGCGTTCACTGCTAACCATGAGGCTGTGGCCTGCACGTCGAAGTCCCAGCGCTGTGCTAAGAGCGGCTGGGGCAGCTGCAGCCCTGTGTGCTGCTTCTCCTCGGGTAGTTCCAGCAGTGGAACAAAAAAATCTGCAGCACTGACCTATTCCTTCCAATTATGTGAAAACACACACACTGTGAAATCGAAACTATGAGAGGCTAAATGACACATCAGTCCTGGCTGAGAGACTGAATTGAAAGCTGGGGAAAGTCGGCAACAAAGGCGGAGCTAAAGCAGCTTTGACAGACTCAGTCCAATCTGCGAGGAGACTAAGTTAATCCTTGCCTAGACTCTTGTAACTACACAAAGGAGAATATATACATGATTATTTCCCATTTAATCAAAGATTACAGTATTAGCAATTTTTTATCTAAACAAAATCACTAAACGTTTACAGCTGTGGTCTATTCAACAAGCTTAATGACTGATCATTTGTTAGTTTGTGTCCCCCCACCAATGGGATACAGTGTGCATTTTGAATGATCTGCCGCTTTACAATATAATTTAGTTTTGTTAGCAGGTAGGAAGTATAAGCACCAAGTGAACTCTGAGTTAGTTGACATAGTTAGAGAACTTACAGAAATTACTTGAACAAAAGACAGCACCTAGCTTTTTTATATGGGCAAATTTATGTGGCCAGATTTTCAAAAGACAAGAGAAAATATTTGTCTTTATTATTGCTGTATTGGATTAAGAGGCTGACATCTCAACTGCAACTGTAGTAGTTATCTACTTTTAGTTGGGAAGGGAACTACCTATGAAAAAAGATGCATAGTTGCATACTTATTGATCTGCTCCTAAGAAATGTATTACTGTAGTCTGTTTTTAATCTATACTCAATTTAATCTACTCAGATGGGCAGAAGCAGGTTTTTGTTTATGTGCCGTGCAGTGATTTCCTTCTGAGATTTGTCTTTTCACAATGAGTGCCATATGAAACAGTTTATGTAACATAATTTCCTTTTGGATATTGCTTTAAAAAGTTTGGGGTGAAAATATGCTGTAGTACTAAATATTATCAACATGAGTCATGCAAAATATGTTTATAGTGAAGTATATTAAATGCTGTTTGGTATTACATAGTTTCATACAGAGAATGCCATATGTTTCAGTTTCCTATGACTGCAGATAGCACAGTCAACTTTTGAAGTCAGTAAACAGGATGCTCAAAATTGAAATAGCAAGTTAACAAAGGAAGTGTTACTGAATGACTTTTTGCTCAAGTTTTTGTTGTTGCATTATGTGCTATGAAGGCATTTATTTTATTTCTTTATATCACAGAAATCATTCCTAGTATTAATATAAGAAGAGTTGGGAAGAGCATGAGAGAAATAATTGTTATGGAAAAACAAACTTGTTTCATTTATTCCTTTTCCTTTTTATAATTAATTATATTGGGAAAACTGGTAGTTCTAAACATTTTACCAAGTTTAATTGTAATATTGTGTGAAAAGAAGTATATGTAAGTAGATGGATTACTGCAGGAGGTTTTCTGATTTCTGTGTGTCCTTGCTTCCCTTCTTCTGTTTAATTGTTACATTTACTGTTAATATTTCAGAACAATATTTTCCAACCTCAACAACTTTAAGACCTCAACTCCCAGAGTTTTCCAACCAGCATGAAGTCCACACATTTTAAATTGCTGAAGATGAGGGCATTGTTTTGGATTTAGAACAAGGGTTTTTAAACCTTTTCAGGCCAGCAACAAAAAAATTCCAGAACCCCTAATTAGGAGATAAAACACTTGCAATAGAATCCTAGTATGGTAATAAAATGAAACTTCTGCTTGCTTTATTTATACAAATGTATATATTAAGATTATTTAAATTTTACAGAAATGGATGCCCCAATTATAGCACTAGAATTTGTTTCCCTTTTTTCACCTGTGCTGTACTGTCTGCAATTACCATCTTGTAAATGATTATCCATATCTATAAAATGTTATCATGACATAAATATGTATTAGGTCTAATCAAAAGACAAGCTAAAATATGCATATGATGAGGATGACCCTTTAATATTATGAAGTTGAAAATTATGCAGCAGAATCACTGATGTCACTTAGAAAGCTTCCTTTACTTAGAAATGATAATAACATGGCATGCATAAACATGACCTGCAGTATAATCAGAAATAATGGCTTAATGTAGCAAAATTAAATTTGATTTTTTTCCCTCACTATTACTGCCTTGCAGAAGCCATTTAAGCACCATCATCTTCCTTCCTTTGCAAATACAGTTTTGATATATGTTTATTCTGGAGGAAATTTTACTACTATAGGATTTGAAGCACATATGCACTGCAGCTGGGCAGTTGAATCCTATGTTTCAGTATTAATTCCTTTATAACTCAGTGGATTTAATCCTAAGTAAATTTGCACAGGATATTGCCTTAATAAATAAGATGACCAATTGGGGACATACCCATAAATACCCAGAAATGGATCTGCAACATAAAAAGAGATACATTGCTTCCAGGAATGTGTAGTTCTTGGGCTTTTAACCTTTTGTTAAAATCATCCTGTTAGGAATAAGTCACCTAACAGTTGGGTTGGCAATATATAAACCAGGATAGTTATTTAATACTGTTGTATCTTTACGAGAGTGCTGTAATTGTGATTGGCTGAGGTTCCTCCGAAGGCCATAAGAAACCTAGTTTGTATCTTCTTGCATTTTCCCTGTCGCCTTTTGCCTGATCGTAGTTCTGCTGGAATTGCTGTGAGTCTTGCAAACTGTTAGCAAACTCCATTTACTGAACTTTGTTTATGATACTGGACTTTGTTTTTGGATATCCCTGGACTGATTGTATTGAATACTACCTGCTTTAACCGTGTATGATTTGGACTGTTTGTTGGACTTTGTTTACCCATTTACAGGAAGTAAAACCTACATTTTACTATTCAGTGTATCTGTATGCTGGTTGTGTGTTATTCCTCACCACTCTCACTACGTTTCCCTGAGTGCACTCATTCTCCTAATGGGGAATACGTCAACACATCCTATTTATTTTTACTTCTTTTAGGATAAAGTGTAATAAATCAGGAAAAAGATTCATGTAAGAAGAGGGACTCACCCTGATTGATTTTATGCTGCCAAATAAATCAGAATCTCTTTGGATTTTAAGCTCTCTCTCTGAGGGTAGGATTAGAACTCACCATCCAAAAGCAATAGTCCCTTTTAACTTCCTCATCTGCCCTTTAAAATAGCATTTTCTACTTAATGCCTTAGAACATGTTTGTTATAATTCAGAGGCAGGCAGGAAATTGGATGTTGTATATGTGCATGTGGGAAGAGAGAAAAGAAAAAAAAATGAAGTGGTGAAAGGCAACCATCTGCCTCCTGCATGGATGGCTTGCAGTTTTGACACCAAACTTTGGTGATATGCAGGCAATTCATTTTACTAATCTAATTGGGCCCTTCAACAGAAGCAGCAAGCTCTAGCATTGAAAAATTATACACGTTCCAAAACAAAAGCATGTTAATTGTCTTCCCAATTAGAAAATAAATGTTATTCGCATTGTCCTATCATTGCCTTTTTAAAGGAAATCTTGTTATATTCCTGCATTTTTTTAGGAGGTATCTCTTACACCATTATCCTTCAAAGAAGTTCCATTTTTTCTATCAAATACTTCATAATTATTCCTCCCTCCTCTTTTTTTTTTTTTTTTTTTTGATAGACTGAAGAATGAAAGTACTTTGATGGGGAAAAAAGCTGTGGCCACAGGATGGAAATTGCTTCATTTGAAGGGGACTCTGATAGAGCTTCGGTGAGTAATTTTATACAAAATAGTTGTCAAATAATACATCCATAGAGAAGGAATTTCCTAAAATATATGCATGTGTACAAAACTATATTCCTTTTCATGATTAATTTTAACCTACTTTTAGATAAGCAGTCTCATGCCCCTTTTTAAACGTACTGTTCATCCTTCAGTAAGTTTATTTAAAACCTTAAAATGAATAAAGTATTAAGAAAGCTAGTTTGATATGGTGATTACAGATATTGATGTGGAAACCTGAAGACTGTGATTTCTAATCCTTAGGAACTTTGGGCTGAACTCTCTCTTTGGGGCATAGGAAGTGGTGGCAAAGCTCTTAAAACAACATTGCTAAAGAAAACTACAGGGATTTGTTCATTTGGTCTCCAGAAGTCAAGACTGTCTAGTAGGGTAAAGAACCCTCTAATCTTATTCAGGCTAAAACATATCAAAGCATATGTAGATTTACAAAAAAAATCAGTTATTTTTAATATCAAAATATATTGGATTGTTTCAACAAGCTCTGCATGGGGCTGCCCTTGAAAAGTATCCAGAACCTTCAGCATACAGAATGAGGCCGTGAGAATTACATTGGATGCTCATAGAAGGGTACATGTAACAACACCCTTGCCCTGCAAACTGCACTGAGTGCCAGTTTGCTTCCAGGACCAATTCAAGGTGTTGGTCATCACTTATAAAGCCCTACATGGCATGGAGCCAGGCTGCTTATGGAATCGGCTTCGCCCTGTCACATCAGCCTGTCACATTCAATCAGGTAGGAATAGTATATGCTGCAGACCTTGTCAGTAAAAATTTTTGACTGGTGTGGTCTAGGAAGATGCTGGCTCCCACTTTCCTGGCCTTTCGTAACAGGGTCAAAAAGTGGCTCTGTGAGCTTGCGGGGGGAGGTCCACAAAGGACCATTCAAGCATTCCCTCTGTCTTTATTAACTAATGTTAAATGGCCATCATAGAATTTATTTCTTTGAAATTTTATGATGTTATAATTTTATAATTTAAAAAATCTTAAATTAATTTTAGTATTCTAATATTTATATGCTACTTTATATGTTGATTACACTGTATACCACAGGTGGGATTCAGCCAGTTTTCACTGGTTCGCCTGAACTGTTAGTTAATTTCTTATGTAGTTGGGAGAACCTGTCTGTCTATCTGTCTGTCTGTCTCCATTCACTTAATAGCTCTGGGAAGACAGCCAAGAACCACTTAACAGTTGCAGCTGGAATGCAGCTGGTACAGGCTGAATCAAGTCAATAAACAACAGAAACTGACAGGATTAGGGCCGGAAAACATCAATCACCATCTAGGGATGGGATTAACATTTCCATTATAAAGAGTATTAAGTAACACTTCTGTGATCAGCTGATACTCCCTGGAGTTCCCCAAGACCTTTTACAGCTGCTCCAGTGTTGTCTACTTCTTGTTTCTTCCTGGGGGAAAAGATACAGGAGGGGACAATGATGCAGCTTGATAATACAGGCTGTAAATTTAATGCATGTGTGATCCAGCCGGCTATATTGCTTCTGCTGTGAAGCATCCAATTTAGAACATAGAGAACATAGGATAATAGAGTTGGAAGGGTTAATGGCTTTTCGCAGCATGCCCAGGCTTTCAGTTAGCATGAGTGGCTAATGGCTGAGGAATGGCTGTTTTTAAGTTTTCTGCATTGTTTTAGTGGTTCCTGGCACTGTCTTTTTGGGGTGTACTTTCCTCACTCTTTTTAAAGACCTCTAGTGATGGAGCACCCACAACTTCTGAAGACAAGCTATTCCATTGGTTGATTGGTCTCACCCTTAGGAAATTTTTCCTTAGTCCTAGGTTGCTTCTCTCTTTGGTTAGTTTCCATCCATTTCTTGTTGTGCCTTTTGGTGCTTTGGAAAATAGATTGACTTCCTCATTATTTTTGGAGCCCCTCAAATTTCCTGACAGTCAGAACAATCAGTGGAACAACTTGCCTCCAGAAGTTGTAAATGCTCCAACACTGGAAGTTTTTAAGAAGAGATTGGATAACCATTTGTCTGAAGTGATGTTGAGTTTCCTGCCTAAGCAGGGGGTTGGACTAGAAGACCTGCAAGGTCCCTTCAAACTCTGTTATTCTATTCTAAATATTGGAACAGTGCTATTTTATTGTGAATTGGACTAAAGAAAAATTTCCTAAGGGTGAGACCAACCAAGTTGGCCATGCCCACCCTGTCACATATCTACCCAGGCATGCCCATCCATTCATTAGGGCACAGTTAAATTATTTGAATCCCACCACTGCTTACACTACCCAGAACTCTGTCTTGAGGGAGATTGGCAGTTTAGAAACATGAAATGTGTGTGTGTGTGTGTGTGTATAACATATAAGTTATTAGTAGAAACTGCTAAACAGCGTTAAACTGTTAAACAGTGTCTTGAATGCACAGTGCTTTAATTTTATCCATAAGAGCAGAAAAAAGTAGCTACATGAAGGTATGTTAGTGAAATTGGGCTGATGACAAACATTCCTCTTTTGGGTAAGATTTGTATAATATGAGTACAATAACCCTGTTAATTTTAGTCCTAGTAATTTGCTTAATATAATCAAGCTACACATCATGCGACATATCTTAATTTGAATTATTGGATTGGGTCTAAAGTGAAAATATTCTTGTTGAAGAACAGATGAGATTTAGAGGGAACTATTCAGCCTTAGACCTGCACTATTCAGTTGAAAAATACATTTTACCCACCAAAGGTACCCATTGCCTCCTTCGTGGATTTCAAATTTACTTTTGATCTGATTCCAAAGTAGAAGCTATGGGAAAATTTCAGGGATGCTCAATGGATAAAAGGTTATCCAGACTCTTTATTGTAACATTTCACTGTCAAATGCTGCCCACCAGGATACCCTTTTGGAACTGTTTCCATCAAAATAGAGGTAGAGTAAGGATCAGAAGATATCCATTGTACTTGGTATCGGATCACTATTATATGCTCTAATTACCTATCTCTCTTAAGCTTAGCATTTCTTGATCTGTCTTCCAGTACTGTGTTGCGTAGAATGTGTTTTCAGTAGTTTAGACTAGAATTAAATCTGAATATGAACTGTAGGAAGTTCCAGGGGTTTATTTTTTGGATGGGATGACAACTGATAAATCATAGCTTTGTCAGTGAGGATAAAAGTCTCTAACTAATAGTGACACTTGAGATTTAACTCAAGAAATCTCAAACTATGTACTTATAATGCAAACTTGCAAAATTTCTTTTTAAAAATCTTAAATTATCTAGAATTTGAGCATATTTTAATTGGAATCCGGTTGAATAAATCAAACAATCTTTTTATAGCTTCAATATTTATAAATAATGTTTTTAAATAATATTTATAAATAATGATGTCATCTACTATTAAATACGAAGGGAATCTTCAATAGTCATAATTTTTATGGGAGATTTATAATAGGATAGGAAAGTATCCATTGTACTTGGTATCGGATCACGAAGTTAAAGTTGGAGAAAATTTAGTGAAAAGTTTTGTTTACTTTTCCTTAAATGATGACAGTCATATCTCAAATGAGAAGGTTTACAGATATATCACGTCTTATCATGGCTGAAAAGTTATTCAAGACACCAACATGGGAGGTAACATATTCTTATGGAGATGGTTTTTACTAATAAAATAGAGTATTTCTTATATGGAACCTCAAATAATCACTAGAGTTGATAAAATTAGCTGTAACTAAGATACCTATTAGGCTAAAATAAATATTTGAAGGCAGTTTTGTAAATTATTTATTATTTACTTAGTTATTTATGCTGAATATACAGTCCTGTGAAAAAATTACTTCTCCATTTTGGCTTTATTTTTGTACAATAAATGATGACATGGTGTAATATGTTATATATTGTTCATCTGAGGTTGTATTTACCTACTTTTAAGAACTGTTAAGGACCAGATGATTTTTACTATGTCCTGATACACAAACCATAGAATTCAAAGAGAGTATTCTTTCTTTTTCACATGACTGTATATTTAGGGAAGCTGGAAGGTGAGCATTGTTTTAAAACTGGAGGAAAGAACTTCAACAAACTGCTATACTCTAAACCTGAAAATGAAAAGGATCTGCAAGTAATGAAAATCATTGAACAGAATAAAAAAAAGGCTAACATAGTCAGAAGTTGAACATTCTGTACAGAAAATTCAGGTTATGTAGTAACTCTACATTATTCATGTTTTTAACATTATTGAAACAAAAGCTGTTAAAAATTAATTCAGTACAGTTCGCTGTGTTTCCTATTTCTGCTCCTTGTCCCTCTTGCTGCCCGCCCACATCCCAGCCCTAGTAGTCCGTGCAAGTTGTCAGTTTCAGCAGAGGACTGTCAGGGAGAGAGAACTGCTCAGGCTTTTTTTTTTTTTTTTTTTGGCAGCCATTTCTATTTTCTATATAGCCTCCTCTCCAGTTAATTTTTTCCCTATGTGAGAAAAACCCAAAACAGTCTTTTTGTTCAATGAATATGGCAGTTGTTAAGTGAGGCCATTCATAAAATGACTGGTCATTAAGTGAAGACTACCTATAATCTAACTTTAGTTCACCACGTTAGCCTTTTGGTTCACTGTATTCCAATAACTTTTTTGCATCTTGGCTTTACTTCATCTATCCATCCAGCTATCCATGTTTGTTCTAAATTCTGTGTCCTCCTTACTCTTTTTCAATCTCCCAATTTCATTTAAAATTGAATATACAGGTAATCCCCGGGTTACAAGCGTTCCCGTATCGAATATTCAAAGTTACACGATTAGCGTCTCCTAGCGTTTATGAACAATTCCCGAAATTATGAATATTGCACCACCATGGCAGTTGTTTGTCCTTACAAACAACTGCAGAGGTTCTGCAATATTCGCCCCACCTATTTCCCCCCCCCCCAGCTGTGTCTTCACAGGCACTTTGCCTGTGGAGACTCATTTACCTTGCAAAGATCTCCTCCCTGTCTCACTTTCTTTGCCTGTTTCATTGCTTCAGGCTTCTCTCCACAGAGAATAGAGGCCTAATATACTGCAATATCATGTGAGATAAGTACCATGAGATCTTGTGTTACTGATCTCGTGTGATCTTGCACTTTAGGACTCTATTCTTTGCAAATTGACGCCTGGCCATTTGCAAACGAAGGGAAGGCTTCAGTCCTTCAGACTTTCCCTGAAAGGAGGCCTTCTTTCTCGCTGGCGATCTACTTGACAAGGCCTTCAGTGATGAAAAATGCCTCGTCAAGCCCTTTGCTGATGAGAGAGCGGGAAGCAGGTGAAGAAACAGGCTGGAAAGGAGACAGCTCTTCATAAAGTAAGTCACCCCGCGCAGCAAGATGGGGGGGTGGAAGCAATTGTGGGGACCCCAGGAGAAGGAGATGTATCTGTGGGTTGGAAGAAACCTTGGATGGTCTGAAGTAGATAACTTGTTTGATCACTAGTCCCCCCCACATGGCGTCTCCACTCCAAGATACCTCATGTGCACTTAATGAGCCTCACATTCAGTTAGAGAATATGTGGGCGAAAAGAGGGAGTGATCACGTTCAAAGTACAAGATTCACTCCCACGAATCCTCTGGTTACAAATGGAATGGGAAGGCTCCATTACATTTGTAACTCAAGGACTATCTGTGTTAGCAGTAGAATCTTAATTCACTACTGACAATATTCTCCAAGGCGCCTGAAGGATAGGATAGCTTGGAGTGCAGATTGAACTATGTGGCATGTACATTTTCATATTATCAGCATTAACTGTAAGGTAAGCTGCCTCATTTTACCCAATCTCCAGCTAGCCCTGTTTGCAAGGAAGATTATTTTCTTTTGATTTATGGAGCATGTTGCCAAATCCTATTTCCTCCTTATGGAATGCTTAAAATAAGTTATTTGAAAGTTAACAAGGTTGCTTATCTTTTCCTTCAGCTATCAGTTTCTCTTTCTTTGACAACCCACTCAACATATAGTGCATATTGGAAATTCACAAGGAAATTCCTTTTCAGATTTTGGGGTTTGTATTTTGTGGTTGGTGTTAACTGAAAAGTGTCTCTTTCTCCATACATAAGATTGTAGGGTTTGGAAGATTTCTGTTTAATGGCTTGTGTTTTGCTTCCATTTTCTCTGTCTTGCTTGTAATTTAATTATTCAATCTATAATATTTCCATCTTCACTTGCTGAATTTGGTGCAACAGAAAAATAAATACAAATAGCAAGTTGGTTGTTATTAAACTGAAGTTAAAGTGTTTGTTTTCATTCATTCATTTTTAATATATATTGGATGTACTTTTAACTTCATCTCTTGATGAAGTATTTTCTTTCAAGTTTCTAAAAATAAGTATAGCCATACTTCATTCCTAATTTCCTGTGGCAGGTAAAACTTGGAGCAGGAATATTATCTGATGAATAAATTAAAAGAATTTTAGAAAAAATATGAATTTCCAGATAATATTAGTCTTACTGTTACAATAGCAAGTTAATAATTACAATAGCTTTGCTAAATATATTTGCCTATGCTTTCTTAAAAAAAAAATTAGTTCCTCTAATTATGAAGCTAAGTATTTTTAAAAAAACAATCAAATTTGATATGCATGTTATATTTTTAGTTTTAAATTAACCTGCTATTTTCCTTGTTCTTTTCTTTTCTTTCTTTTTTTTCTGCTGTGTTCCTCCTCCTCTTTTCCTTTTGGCCTGGATACTTTTGTTTGCCATTCTCCGTATTCAATTGCACTGTAGCTCCAGCATCATGGTGAGATCAAAGAATGGCAAGGAACTTCAAGTAAGTAGTTTCTGCAGGAACAGTGAAAGCTATTTTTTTCCATAGGGCCATACTTTCATTTCATATTATTAGCAAATTATTAGCAAATTTAATAATTCACACCAGAGCTTCACCTTCCATAATATTGTGCATTATTCTTAGCTTTATCTATCATTTTATCCATTTGTAAAGAGAAATATTATAAATCATACACACTTTTAGGTTTGTGCAAATGCTGACATTTCAAGACTTATCATTTTTCTGGTATGTGAAATACAAAGAGCAACTTGTCAAGATAATTTTAGGGGAATTTAAGAATAAAGAATAAAATGGTATGGTTAGTCTTTTTCTTTAATCATTACTTCCCTGGAGTAATTTGTTTCATAGACTCCCAAAATTAGTATACATACTCGGCTTTCACTACTTTGCAGTGAGAGAATGAGACTGAAAAGAAAGGGGAAAGGCTATGCAAAGTAAACCGATAGAGTGTTGTTTTTTCTGCAAATACATTTTCCCCTCTACTATTTAATTTGCTAGTCATTGTTATAAATAGGGCTCCTGGATTATATTAGGCATGACAGCTTCAAGAGCTGTGAGATTTTCCATCTGTGGAGCCCAATCTAATAATTAGAAAACTTACATTTTTTAACAATATCTCTAGAGGGCACTGTGACTGTAAAATATCAGAAGAAGGAAAAATTATCAGGCAATTACATTGAGAGAAAAAGAGGATTAACATCTAAAAAAATCAAAAATAAATATGTGTTTGGGAATTAGATTTTGGATTAATAAATCTATAGAATCTGTAGCTTTTTGTTTAGAATCTCAATTACATTGTTTAAGGAAACTTATGTTTGGAGTTTGTAGTCAGAAAGGAGGGAGTTGATTTTTGAGTGTGCATGCTGACTATACATTGTATACATATCACTTGATAATTTTCAGAAATTCAGTTTTTGGAAATTCAGTTTTAAAAATACCAGAAAATAATGATATGAAGCAAGATTAAAATGCTATGTTTTTATAATTATTTAAATTGGACCTGAAAATAATGGAAAAGTTACCACTATAACATGAAAAGAAATCACATTGCAATTATATCATGTTATCCCATGTTACTCTTCTTTCACGCTCTCCAGAAGTATTAGACAAAAGATATAATGTCCAGTTAATCAGGTCTTTGTAACAATGATTTAAAAAGAAAGGAGAGGAGCTGAATTCAGAAACAAAGCATGTAGCCCTTATGTTGAACATTTTTCAGTCAAATAATTTAAAATTATCTCATTTTTCTACTTTAATATTCAAAACCATTCGACTTTCTAAACTTTCTGAATGGATATTAATGGATATTATTTCTGTGTAACTTTTTTGCCATTGTCAAACATAAATCAATGTCTTATTTTCAAAACACTCTAAAACTACGTTCTCCCTTCCTTCTATTTATATATTTCCTGATGGAGCTCCAACACCATTTTAACAGTCTACTGCTTCTTTATTCACCCTTTCTAAGTAAATTATGCATTATCAAATCCCACTTAAACTATGATCTTTAAAACTGATATTTTACAGTGAAACTTTTTACTCAATATGCCTCATTACAAACCAGTTTTATAATATGTAGCTGAGGGAATCACATATTATTGCTTTTTTACTTTAGCTTTCATTTCCTTCCTTTTTCTGTGTTGCATTTTATCATGTAAACTCCTTAGGGTGGAGACAGTTTCTACTATATTCAGTGAAATGTTGTAACTCATCATTTTTTGATGTTTATTTTACAGCTGCAGTAGCAAGCAGTGATGAATCTCATACTTCTACTCCAGGAAAAATGAGCCAGCATCACGGCAAAGAAGGGTATCTTACACCAACCAAAGAATTACAGCAACTTTCTTTCAGTCCAGGCCAAGGCCATGGTAAGAGCCATTTTGTTGAATATAGTATCAAATAAAATGCTCTACAACACTTACTGTACATGTGACAGGTTCAAGAGAATTGGTTTTATGTTACATAAACCATAACTTAGTTTTGTGTCTTGTCCAGAAATCAGCACAGATATTTCTGTAATTTGAAAAAAAAAGTGGTTTAAAGGTACCTTGGTTTAATTGTGTAATAAAGGAGATGGGAAATTTCTGAATGCGTGGGTAAGTCCTTTTTCATATATCAGTTCATTAAGCTGTGTTTGATAGTTATCAGCAGGCTTCCGTGTACTTCATATATGTATTTCATTGGGAGGTGGAAATGTAGTGGTTGAACTAGGAAATAGATATGTTGCACCTTTAAAACTTATTACAAAATTACATTCCATTTGTTACTTCTAAGGAGATACAAGATACATAACTCCTAAGTTAGTAGGAAATTCAATAAATGAGAAAAAAGTAGGAAAATATTATTTGTAAGAGTTGAATTTAAATGTCATTAAAAACCATACGTTACTGAACTCAGCCTTGTCTCATCTGTTCCAGTATGCACACAAGAAAGATCTCAGAAGCCTTCGCTTTTATGTGTGATTAAGTATGACTTGTCATGTTGTCTGAATCTACATTGGTAATCATTTATAAATTTAGCATATTTTAACACGTCACAATCTAAAGCTTATATTATATAAAACTTACTGATTTAAAAATATAAATGTGTTAAACCTTCTCTTAGCCTACTATAGGGCAAATTAGTCTATTATATACTGAAGGAAGTTAGTCTCATTAAGTCATAAACTTGGTTTCAATATATGCAAAATACTGAATGTTTTGTTTCCTAAATGGAAATTTTGCCTCCTAACTTTGCCATATCTAATTCATTCAAGTTCATTTGGAACTCTTTGGCATAAATGAAGATTAACAGGTTTCTGCAAATAATTTGGAGAAGCATTTTATTTATGGTTTTGTTGTAACTGATAAACTAGGGGTGTCAAACTCAATTTCATTGAGGGCTGGATCACCATTGTGGTTGTCCTTCAGGGGGAGGAGGGACATGGCCATGGTGTTCGCAGCCGACTGGGCAGTGGCCACAAAGTAAGGTGGTGGGGGAGTTGAAGACAAAGTGAGGCAGAGGGTGAGGAGCTGCCCCATGCACCAGATTACCTGAAGGCCCTGCAGCCAGACCATCAATGTTATGCCAACTACC